AGGTTTACATCCTCTGGTTCTGAATACAGAATATTTATTTGCTGGAATTTGGGCTTTGACTCAACAATTGATGTTTCCTGGTGTCATTTTGACTGAACTTTAGCTATTTTACAAAGCAAAAGGGAAAAAACATCTCCGAAATACAATATGATGCGGGGAAAACGTAATTGCTATGGTAACCTTGTGTATTACAACCATTATGTCTTACATTGGCCTATGTTATTGCTTTATGTTCTGGAGAAACTGGCCTTTATTTTTGTTTGACCTATAATCAGTCGATTTACTGACTTTCTGATGCTCAGGAAACTGACAGGAAGTATCTTATTATCCTGTGGAGTTCTAGAGTAATGTCATCCCTTAAATAATCAACCAACCCATCTATTACTGATCTGCATATATGTAAACTTTTTCCCAAATTGGATCCTTCCCTATCGAGGATATACCATTTTTTTATTGGTGAATCTAATTCACATCCTAGTTATTAAATTATGATTTTGATGCCCTCATACTGTTTATATCATACCAATTATATTTAAATTCATGTCCCTTGAGTGGATGTTTCATACCAGCTTTTAACATGATTTGACGATTTTAATTAATTGTAATCCACTCATTGGTTTGTTGTAAGAAAATGTGGTTGTGTAGCTAATTAATAAGGCCAGCCCTTAAATGGTTAGTTGTTTTGGGTAGGGCAGAGTTCATAATGGCTCATATTCCATGAGTTATTTTGCCAAAATGATCTGAACCATGAGATTGGAGAATTCTGTTGCAATATATGACCAAAAATACCATGGAGGAAAAATGAACTCCTTTACAAGATAAATATGCTAACAATTAACACAATATTTATACAAAATGGCCACAAGTGGGAACAAAAAGCGACTACAAATGGCTAAATGGTCCAGAGCTTCAATAAATACTTGATTTCTGTTTAATTACAACATTTTCTGATCTGCACTTATAGTTCTATTAAACATCTAATATCTTCGAAAAGCATGACTGTCTCTTTTCTCTGTTCTAACCTTTTGTTTCAAGTATTGAGGTTTATTTCTCAACCACTTTCTATAGATCTGAGGATAAAGGAGATTCTGGATTTTCTCTCCCATAATCTTTGTAGGTAATTTGCAGTAAAGATGCTATGCATTTATTTAATTAAAATAAAGACATTTTTGTACATTATTTTTCAAGGAACAACAAACTTGTGAAACCCGACACCTTAAGCTAACAAAAAACAAACAAGTATCTGAGAACAGATTTAATGTTTGCAAATAAATATGACAAATGTCTGAGCAAGACAAGTTACACATGCACCACATTTAACGTATAGTTATTGAGAATTAGTAGCTGTGCAGCAGATCTGCACTGAAGACGACGTACAAGTTCGATTCCCAGAGAAGGCAGCTTTCTGGCTGATAAGTACAAAGTTACAAACATTCCTAGCAATAATTATAGATGGTCAGTGATACAGAAAGAACTTTTAATACATTTTTAGCACAGTTATAGTTTGGTTATGAGATCCGGTATTCTGACATGTAACAATAAGGTCTATTATGTAAACATCTCCCCATGTTTTATAGCATGGATCCAATGCATTTAATTTGCTTTTTTATTCATGAAGGCATACCAACTTAAGGTGAAACATTTTTTTTTTTGTATAAAGGAATAATAGTAGAGGATGAAGTGCCATCTAGTGGAGCAAACTCATAACTGCAATAAAAACTGGCAGAAGACTGCAGCAGCTCGGAAAGAGCGACTGAAGATGCTGATGTTTGGTTTCTCTTCTCTTGGCTGTAGTGTTTGAGTAACAATGCATATTTATAGTAGACCAAGGTTCAAAGGTCACTCATGGGTACATACAATTAGACAAATACTACATCAGTCACAGGCAGTTATCACTTTTAAGCAACAGATAACATAAAAGTAATATTTTTTCATCTTGAGTGCCAAGACACAAAATAAGCAGATTAAGTTTCCCTTTACAGCAAAACCACAACAAACTAATGCTAGACTGTGACTGATGATGACAGGCAGGAGAATGAAAGTGGCTTGAAATTAAACCCCAATTGCATTTTGTTGATGCACTTTTTTTTTTAAATAGGTGAAAATGAAACCTTGCTTTTACATTTCTTTTTTGCTAGAGTACCATGCTGAACAGCAATCCACAAACTAATGTACCTACTGAACTTTGACCTTAAAGTGTTCTTCTAAAGTAGCTAAATGAAAAATAAAAAGCAGGTTATTCCCATAAACCCTCATCTCTAGAAGTACAACCATAATACACACAAACGTCTTAGTTTGTGGCAAATAACAAAACTAATTTTATATCTCAACATGGAAATATAAACATCAGGCTTTATAAACATTGGGGAATATAACTGGGAACATTGCATTATCATTTTATGGGAGAACTGCAGCCTTTTGCCGACTAATTCGCCAAATTTTTATTACGCTGAAAAATTATGGTCCTCTCTCGCAACACTTTAGAAAAGATACGACATCTGTAAACATCTAATAGATGTTTGGTTAAAGTCCTGGTTCGCATGAATGAAAAAGAACAACTTAAGGAGCTGGATCAGCACAATCATACATTTATGAACGTGAGCTTTAATCTCGGTTCAAGCTAATTCCTTCTGTGGTTTTTTTTTTGTTTTGTTTTGTTTTTTTACACCAAACCTGAATTTGAGCCACAACACTTTTTTTGTGAACTGGGACGTGACAAGAAAACATTTGTTAAAAGACAGAGTTTTCACAAGTTTAGACATGGCTAAGGCTCCTTTGATAACATAAAAAAAGAAATAACCTTTACAGTGACACAAAGTCAATACATTACTTATAACTTGTAACATTTAGAAAATAATGGTTTATCTTTTTAAACAGTAAAAAGCAAAGAGAAACTTGTCTTTGGAACTTACTAAGTTTTTTAAAATTCCTTTTTACCCCTATATGGATTAATTTGTACAAACACATTCATAGACCGCAGAAGAGATGGAGGTCAGTTTTGGTGCAGCAGGAAGTTCTTGATAGGTCCTGGTAGCGGTAATGAAGCTATGTGGTTTAGACGACTTTTGCCCATTGCTCTGCGGATCCTGATGCGACACAAATGCGTGAGCCTATGAGGGTTTTCTGCAAAAAACATAAAAAATAATAAATATGAAGGAAATTAAGTACCTGTAAAACAGTCAAAGTTTTAAAAATAGATCATAAGTTGGCAAAACACAGTTATCCCTCTTTACAATTCAACTGAACTACTTAAATACACACAATTGTTGCTCTGCTAAGCTCATGCCTGTCAAAAAGACAGTATGGGAAATTAAATATGCAAGTTTCAAAGTAGCTTCAACATTTCTGCAAACGTTCAACCAATCTAATCTCTATACCCACTGTCAGGGGGATGATGACCGTCTCTACGTTACAGGGAAACAAAGAGACAGAGACAACAAACAAGGAATAATGAGGCACGTACACATTTGAACCTCAAACGGTCACTCTCTCTCTCCCTGAACAAGACCTTTAACCCCAGATTGCTCCTCAAGTTGTGGCGCACGGCTCCCTGAGGGATGGGTTAAACTCAGAGGACACATTTATTGTCCCACTCTGAGACTATAAAAGGAATATTTGTTTTATTTTCCTTTGATGAGAAAGACTAATGAGGGAGAAAGCAGAGAAGCCTGAACAGAGAGAACATGAAAAGTTTATGCATAAAGAACGTAGAGCTGGATTTGAACCCAGGACCTTCCTGCATGGCTGTGCTAACCATTGCTGTGCTGGACAGCCACACTTTGTACCAAATACTCCTGTTTTCTATGGTCCGATAAATTTGAACTTAGTCTAGCTGTTCCTTAAAACATTAAAAACTCTCTATCAAGAAATAAAGATTAAGATTGTTTACAAGTTTAGCCCAGATTGTGGCTTTCATATGAAGAATATAAATTACATTAACCATATGATGAGAAATCAGTGACCCTTTGAGTGAGAAAATGAATGTTGGATTCAAATTGTTTGGATGTTTACATCTCCACTGGTTTAAAGTTACCAATGTAAGCTGAAGGCTTATTTTCTAACCATCAGAACATATTGGATGTTTCTTTACCGTTGTTCTGTCATTAACTGTGCAGAGCCTGCTGCTGGCTAAGTATAAGCCAAGCTGGTATGAAGGAAAGACCAGAGATAGAGAAGAATGTAGTTACACATGACTGATGATTTGTTCAACTGATGTTCAAACAGGATCTGGGTTTTTATTGAAGTTGTGTTTTTAAAGTGTCTGTAATGAAAAGACAACAGCTTTAACCCTTTACAAGGCAAGTTCCTATTTTGATCACTTGCAACCCTTTACAAATGGAGTCCCCCCCATCCCTCAATCAGGTCTAGAAGCTCAACATACTGCTACATTGCTGTACATGTTATTTTGGCATTTAACCAATATGATGAGCCCTTGAATGATTTATTACCTACTGTAAATTAAGTTGGAAAAAAAAGTTAATAATCTAAGTAAAAATAAATAAATGTGCCTGTATCACAATTAATGCCTCTAAGGTTATAATGCAACAAAAAAAGAATGCATTTCTTTCACTCTGAGTGAATTCTTGAAGGACTATAGTGGAGTTTTTTTGCGAATTATTGAAAAGACCCGCCCTCTCCACTTTTAAAAAAATAAGCACAATTCATTGGTGGAACGGTGCTAACATCAGCACGCCGTCCCGTCTCTACTCCATTAAAAGGAAAAATTTCAACAGCAAGGCCGACCTGCAGGCAGTCAGTAAGTGTTGCAGCTTGTGCAACCTTTTACCTTTGGCAAACAGCTTAGGCTACATCCACATGAACTGACATACAAACAAGTCAAATTTTCATGTGCACCCTTGTGGAAAAGAAAGGACTCTAAAAGAGCTCCAATTAACTTACTTTATACATAGAAAGGATAAAACCTGAATTTAAAGATAATTCCTGAAGGAATTTCTAAAATACCAGTTAGGACTCCAGTCTAAAGAAATAATGCAGTAGCCTGATATCATTTTCCACGTATGTTTAAACCCTTTATAGGGCACTCCTTGAAATACTTGAAAATCCAAATTTTGAGGCAAGAGTTTTATTAGATGAAAGGACAAGAGCTGATTACTTTTGCAACATTAAAAAAAATATAATGGCAAAAATCAAAGTCATTGTAATAAGAAATGGTGACTTTCCTGAATATGTAAAAAAAAAGGTTCCTCTAGAAACCAAACTAGAAAAAGAAAAAGAAGAAACTCAGAGTGAAATAAACACTTTTTTTTTTTTTACCCTTTAAATCATTAATGCTGATACAGGCATACATGCTTATTCGCTTAACTTTTCATTTACTTTTTTTAATTTTTCACTTAACTTGTTTTTCCAACTTAATTTACAGCAGATAATATATAAGTCAATGACTCATTTAATTGGTCAAAAGCCAAAATGACATGTACTGCCACATAGCAGTATCTTGCGTGAATGGCTGGATATAGCCAGAGCTCACTGGCGCATGGGTGAACTCCGTTTGTAAGTGATGAAAAACGATACCAGTGTACATGTCGAGATGGAAAACAGCTACAACTCTGTAGAAACCCTGCATTAAGAGCCCCCCTTTGATGTCTAACTCAACCGTTTCCCCTTAAAATGAATCCCACTCACTCTTTGCTTCCAGGAACACCCTGAGGGCCTCAGGATCCACCTTCCTTCGGTTTGGCGCCTCCAGCTCCACCTGCTCCCAGGGAACGAGCGCCGGGTCCGCCCCGTGGTCCAGCAGCAGGTGGACGAAGCTCACTTCACAGCCGTGTCGCAGCACGGCGTCCAGCATGCAGGAGGCGAGGCCCCGGGTCAGGGCCTCATGGCAGACGGGCCCCGTGTAGTTGAAGTCGGGCTGCGCTCCGGCTTGGAGCAGCAGGCGGAAACATTCCAGGTGGTGGTAGGCAGCGCTGATGTAGAGAGGACACACCACCAGAGTGTTCAGGGTTCGAGCGCTTAGGAGGAGCCGCGGGCCCAGCTGGTGGTCCATGTCAACGTCGGCATTGAACCTACAAAACCATTCACAGGGTTTTAGGTTTCAAGAATGATAACAGAGAGAGCCAAGTCTGGAGGTGTTAAAAAGCCACATGGTCTAATAACAGCCTTTTAGGCATTTTAGAGTGACTTTATAATGACTCATAACGAGCATCATCAGGGAGATCAATACAGCTTTCCTTCTGCTTTCATGCATCAGCCTGAAATGTGAGAAACGCTTCGAGCATTGATCTCATTTAAGGCTGCAGCACACAACGAACACAACCCCGAACCTCTACAGTGTTTATATTACTGCCCTTTATCTCGTATAGAGTTTTTAGTTATGCACATGTTTTTCTTTGACATTTGCCAGATATTTGTTTTATATATTTTACCATCTGTAAATAACATTTAAATAATTCTGTCCATTTTTGTTTTTTTAAAGTTTTTTCAACTGTTAACTTGTCATATCAATTCTTTTACAACTTTGTGATGTTAATGAGGACTTCCTAGTGGTTATTTTATCATGTTGCCTGTGATGGTTTTTGTAAAAGAACAAAAAAAGAAAAAGGGGATGAAACCGAACTGGTCAGAATAGCAGCGCCTCAGTCTGGACAGAGAATAGAGAAGATCACAGTGCGAAGATTCAGACTTTGAAGTGAATTGCTGAGTAAATTAAAGCGTCTTTTTCCTCTACAATTGAAAGTGAGAGGCGTCACCACATGCTGAAGTCCAAAGCCAGAGAGGCTGAATGTTCAGTCTACGGTTAGTGACATCATAATGTGCATTACAGCAAATACTTTATCACCTCTTTTATTTTTATGTATACACAGCAGAGATTCTGCAACCTTGTCTTGTCTAGTGTGTATTTATTCATATATTTCCAATTATTTGAATGATTATTATCTAGATAATGTCATGGTCTGTAAAACTATTGGAATTCCTCCATACTTTGTCAGTTTTATATTTTTCCACTTTGTATTCATGATTAATCAATACTTTTTATTCATTATTTATCTTCAGTAAGATGACTTTACTAGAAGTGCACTTTAACCCATCCAGCCAATAGAACTAATTAATTTCCCCATATGGGGATGATAAGGTTTATCTCATCTCCATATAATTGATAGTAATTTTTAACGAGGTCTATGTGCTCATTTATTCCACTTTTTAGGTGGCCTCTGTTTCCAATATTTTCTCTGCCTAAGATGCTAAATAAAAGTCCTCTCTATGTCTAACATTGTTTTTCCACTTTAAGAGTTCTATAAAGGCGCCTTGTGAAAAGCTTTTATCTTTCTGAGGGACAATTCTAATAAAAATCATAGAATTTAAGGAATTTTGATTTTTTTCTAAAATAGAATCACTAAGAGACACTTTAAAGCTCAGGATGTTTTTATGAATATTGGATAAGATCTTTGATTTTTTTTTTTACTGGGAGACTGGAAGGGTCAAACCATGACCTTTGAAAGCTCATCTTTCAGCTACACCTTAGTTGCGCTGGCTGTACGCTCTTGGTCGCTTTCGTTCAGGAAGATCTGGTTGTAAACAATCCGAAATGCTCTTTTTTAGGGAAGGAACCTGGCATAGCATAGTTCAATTTGAATTCCTCACGGGATCAAACTGAATTGTTCGCAGAAGCTGATTGGGTGATTGGCCTCTATTTGGTGATTGTCTTGCAAGTCAGTTCCACCCATCTTCCTCTCAGTATGGTGCAGCCGCCTTGCACCTCCAAAGCACCACTAAACCTTACAGTTGGGATTGTGTTCATCTGCTTTCTCTCAACATGCTGAGTGAGTTTAGACCTTCTCCCACTCCTCCTCTAGATTAACAGGATGATCATAGGTAAAACATTAAGACAGGCCTGACCTTCGCTTTGTCTTTTATTCATGATGGCATGCTGCGTTACCAATGGTAATGATTACAGTTACATTACCCCCTCCAGGTAATATGTATGGAAAACCTGAAAGAAAGCCTGTCAGCACCTGCAAAGGACCCAAGACTGGGATGGAGATTCACCTACTAGTAGGATAAAGAACCTTCAACATGCAACCACAAAATCCATTGAAACCATTTAGCTCGGGGTCCTATTTTATCTGGTTTAATAGTTTGCAAAGCTGATTTAATTTTAAACAAATGCTTCAGATTAAAGAAAACAAAACTAACAAAAAAATGTGCTTTATTCTGTATAACTTACATTAGTTATTAACTCTTCACATGCTGTTATAAAGTCTTAGTAGACACAGTATCTTTGTCGAGGGATGAGTTTGCAGATAAAGCAGCAAATGCCGGCTTGTTTCTTCTCTGGTTTGTCGTGCTGTGGTTGGAGAATTAAGCTCCAAACACGTCCCAATTATTTCTTAATGCAAATCCCAAACATAGAAGTACTTCCCTGTTTTATAGACGAAGCACTCTGCTTTCCACGTTGTTATAAGAAATGGCTGGTTATATAGAAGCCTACTGCATTGGGATCAAGTTTCTCCCACTTGGCTATACGTCTAAAGGCAGACCTGAGCTTTGGTTGACTGGGTGACATCACACAGACAGGCTGATGGAGAGCAGCAGACAGGACACACCTTAAACTGCTGAGTCACAACGAGTTTTGCAGTAAACTTTGAAACATAACCAACTTTAGGGACATTCCACAATTCTGTCCCCATTTTCTACACTTTTAATATCAATTTTAAGCTCTGTTCTTTATTTCAAAAAATGTTTTAAGTTTAAGTATACTTCTGCGTTAGAATGGTCCAGTCAAAGCCCAGACCTCAATGCAATCAAAAATTTATGTCTAGACTTGGCCTGGGCCACTTTCCAAACATTAACAGCCCAACATTCGTCTACAGAGTAGACAGAAAATTCACTGAAAGACTTCAAGATGATGAGTAAAAAAAATTGGGCGGTGAATACCATTACAAATGGCACACAAGATTTATTTTCCTTCTTTAAAAAAAAAATCCAAATAAAATACTGGAATTATTGCTATAATGTGGAAAGCTCTAAAGAGACATGAAATGTTTGCAGGAAAAAAAACTTGCATTAAAAACTAACAATCTTGTCTTTATCTCACCTGATGAGTTCCTGGAGAAGGTCCACCCTCCCCACCCGTGCCGCGTGGTACAGCGGGGTACTGCGGTGGTGGCGGCTCCCGTTGGGATCAGCTCCCGCTTCCAGAAGGATCCTAACGCAGTCCAGGTGACCATTAACCACTGCCACATAAAGGGCCGTCTGACCTTTGACATCAACCAGGTCCACTTCGGCTCCCTGGGCAATCAGGTAGGCCACGCAGGCGGCGTGTCCGGCCGTGGCTGCGATCCTCAGAGGTGTGCAGGGCAGACAGCCGCAGCACCACACTGACTTCTCGTTAATACGCCTGAAAACAAAACATATTTAACCTTCTAGATAACCAACGATTTGTTTCATGTTTACTTTAAAACAGCACCACTGAGTAAAACACTGTAAAATATATGATCATATATTATAATCGGTATATTAATCATATACATTATTAATACCAATCTGCTATGGAAACCAAACCCTAATGTTTGGATTTCACTAAAGAATAANCAAACCCTAATGTTTGGATTTCACTAAAGAATAACAATAACTGATTTCTGTATTTATGGCCTGAAAGAGGCAGCAAGAGCATATTTAAGGAAACATTCATCTGTGTTAATTGGGTTTATTGATGCCTCTAAGGCCTTTGATCGTGTCAATCACTACAAGTTGTTTGACAAATTAAAACGGAGAGGAGTTCCAAATATTATAGTTCGAATTCTAGTCTACTGGTATTCTAACCAGAAAATGCATGTTAAATGGGGCAATAACATCTCTGCTTCCTTTGGTGTGGTACTAGTATGTAGGACTAAAGCAGACAAAACACTTTGTTTCCCTGATTTCTTTTTGTCAGGGCACAAGTTAGATGTTTGTTCCAAAACTAAATATTTGGGTCACTACATTACTGACCAGCTCTGTGATGATGATGACATTTATCGTCAGTGTCGTGTGATGTACGCCCAGGCAAACATTTTGGGAAGAAAATTTTATATGTGTAGTGATGAGGTAAAAATAAGCCTGTTTAAAGCTTACTGTACATCCTTGTATACAGCTCCTTTGTGGTGTAAATTTAAAAAAGCTAGCATGCAGAAGCTTAAAGTTGCTTATGACGCTTTGAGAATTCTGCTTAAGAAACCCAGACTCAGCAGTGCTAGTGAGATGTTCTGTAACGCACATGTCAGAACATTCCAGGCACTTATGAGAAATCTAATATACAAGTTTATACGTCGTTTGGGCAGCTCATTGAACAGTCTTGTTATAATCTTTTCACATCCCTCTCTTAGTGCACTAAGATACCAGTCGGCTCTGTAGAAATATTGGTATGCAAGTCTTTTATAAGATGTCTTTTTTTTATATATATATATGTACATAAATGTGTTGTGTTGTTGTGTGTCTTCTTTGTGGACTGCGAGTCTGTTGAATAAAGTAATCAATCAATCAATAAAATAAATGCATTTGTAAATCTGAAAATAAGCATGACCTTCTTATGAAAATAAATGTTATTTTCATTTGACTTTTCTTCTTTTCTTCTTCTTCTTATCACTACTTCCTTATAGTTTAAATTCCTATCAGCTTTTAATCAGAAAATGTTAGAAAAAAGATAATCCCTACATTTCATGTTACTGACTGTTATAAAGGAGTAAAGTAGAGCCTAAGAACATAAAAGTTTATTTTAAATCAATTATTTCTTAAAAATCTGGATTTACATTTTATTAAAAAAATAATTACTATCATAATTTAAAGAAAACTGCATCCATTAGTCAATCAAAGCTGGATACCAACCTGGATAATAACCAATTTCTGCTGCTTCATCTGAAACAACTTTATTTGCCAAGTTTGTAAACATCAAACAAAGAGTTGACTGTTTTTCCATTGCTCAGATCATAATCAACATGTAAAAAGCATCCTTACAAAGAGCAGCAGAGCAAAAAATAATAGAAATATGCACTTGTGTTTTTTGGTTTAATATATTAGTAGGAGTTGAAAGATTAATTTAATTTGATAGAAAACAGCCTTTAGCTAGGCTGCACAGTAGAAATGCTTCAAAGTAACATAAATTTGGGTTCTTTCCTCCTTTCTTGGGGGATTTTACGTTCTCTATGGATTCTGTTTAGATTCTGTGGCCTTTTCCAATTATCCAAAAACACAGAAAGTTATGTGAGCAGGTAGGGAGGTAAACAGGCCCCCATGACTGACATCCTTTAGGACACTACATAGGAAAAATGGATGACATTTTGTAACTTAACTAAAGCCGTCTGTGTTTCTGGCTGGTCACAAAATGACTCTCTACTGTAAATGTGAGTCTTGTCTTTTCTTTGTACTTCCCATATCATCATACAGACAACACTCTGCTTATTTAGTTATTTTTCCAGCTTTTATTGTCATTACACTGTCACAAGCACAGAGCAACGAAGTTAACTCTCTGCATTTAACCCATCCCCTTGGGGAGCAGTGGGCCGTCATTGTGCGGCGCTCGGGGAGCAGTGTGGGGTTAAGGGTCTTTGCTCAGGGACCCTGAGTGTCATTCCATGGGAGTGGGGCTTGAACTCAGAACCTCTGGATTCCAAGCACAACCCTAACCACTCCCACCATATTTAAGACCTTTTAGCCATTCTCTGCATCAGTTCGCCCAAACAGCAAACTGCAGCTTTATTAAGGTGGCGGTACTTTGTCTGCCCAGTAAGAACTAGACTCACCGTCTGAAGCCATCCTCCTGCAGCAGGTTCCTCAGGGTGTCCAAGTCGCCCACATAGGCTGCGTTGTGGAGCCGCATGTCATCCTGCTCCAGAGGTTTGTCACAAAACTGCTCCTGGAGCCATTCCTTTAGGTTTCGACCTGACAGACATGCAGAAAGATAAGAAAATTAACAAAACTATTTCATTCATTTTGAACCACTGGCTTACTAAGAAAAAAAACCCCAACATAAAATAATTTGTGCTAATACCTCAGATGTCTAAATGGCTGCTAAGGTGCATCAATTTAGACCATTTAAATTCAAAGAGAACAATGTTGCCAGAGTTTGCTTCTCCATTAGAAATACGACTTCCTGCATTAAAATGGAAACGTTCTAAGCAACAAGCAAGTGAAAAGACTCTAATTTTAATGCTCGCCTGGTTTATCCATTATTTCTGGCCTGCAGTGGTCAGAATCCAATGGCTTAACAACACAACAACAGGCCCGTAAGCAAAATTATCTGGGTGGGCCCCAAATGAAGTATAACACGTCATAAAGGTTCAAGATACGGCAACAGTTTAATAAATCGGCCAAGAAGAAACAATTATGCAATCCTCAGCAGTATGTGATCACCCATCACAAAGGAAACATTGGTGACAGCGCACCACCACATGTTACAGACATCCCAAGATCCAAAAATTCATTTCAGGGAGATGCTTATCGAGATGCTTTCCAGCAGCTCTTCTTTGCTTTTTCTTTTCTGGAATCTGCTTAAGTACCTCTTTTTGGTATCCATCGTCGATAACACATTGTACGTAACAGTTATGGTTTTAATCTACGTTCTGGATTACCCACAATTCCAAGTCGTATTGTAAAAAAATAAAATACTGAAATACATTGTTCTTTTAAGATCTTTATTACGGTTTGACATATTATATGAGTGTGTTTTTGTACCAACCATCTAACTAACTATACACAGTTTTTAACAGAGTAATTAAAAGTACCACTGTCTGCTTTGCTATTGGAGTAGTGTTTAAACTGCTCACCATCATGTTGAAACCTGCCATGTGTTGGGGTATAAATAAGGTCCGATGCAATCAGTCACTTCAGTATCAGCCGAGTTTAAGAGGCCATTTTCATTACATTACATTACATTACATTATTACAGCTGCAAAGAGACGTCCTCGTCTAACAATTGCAGCTGTGTAGAGGGCCTGCCAGGTGCCAGTGATGGGGCCCCTAAGAGGTTGTGGGCCCATAATTGCATAGATATTTACCCCATTGTCAGTATCCCATCAGAAGGCAGAGTACTGAATGTTGGTAGATGAGACGGAGCCAACAATCAAAATCTGTAGGCTCTCACCCATCTCCAGTTGTCAATGGGCGAGAGACGGGGTCCACCCTGGACAGGTCACCAGTCCATCGCAGGGAAACACAGACACAAACAGGACAAACAACCATTCACGCACAAACTCACACCTAAGGAGAATTTAGAGAAGCCAATTAACCTAACAGTCATGTTTTTGGACTGTGGGAGGAAGCCGGAGTACCCGGAGAGAACCCACGCATGCTCAGGGAGAACATGCAAACCTTGTGCAGAAAGGCCCTGGGCCAGGAATCGAACCCTAAACCTTCTTGCAGCAAGGCGGCAGTGCTGCTGCGCCAATGAGCAGCCCGGGGAGAAAAATCTGTTGATTATTTTTTTCGATTATTCGAATAGCAGTTGGATAGCCAAAGGTTCTTTAAGGAAGATTTTTTTGCTAAAGTAAACCAGAGGAAACTAAAACTCCACCATCTGTATTAGAGGGAAAAAATATGGTAGGGGTGGCCAATGATTGGCTAAGGGTGACCATGGCCCCCCCGTTTAACTCTGCCCCTGGTCATAATGTTATGTCACACCAATGCACTTGAGCGTGTTTTTGTGTTTGAGAGAAAATGCATGATTAACTCAAACGTTCAATCGGTTCTCCCCCGTTAAAAGCCATTGCAGTAGAATAATGAGTCGGTACTCTATAAGGAAAAGTCCTTAATTATGGTAAATAGGGTGAGTTTACCTGCAGGAGTGCTGGGCAGATCGGACACAGTGATGAGCGGGGGGAAAAGGATACTGGGCGGCTCTGAACCGTCCGCCATGCTCCTGGACTATTTACACAAGCAAACCCAAAGCTTTGACTTTAATCTCTCTAAATGGGAGCAACGTAGAAACCAAGAGTGCGGGAGAAAAGAAGGAAGATGGAATAAACAAACAGAGGACTGTTAATGATGGTGGATCGGGCTCAAATCGCTGCTTCCTGATTGCGCTCAGCTGCGATATTTAAAGAGACACGCACCGTTTTTAACACAATCCAGCCACTATAGGCTACTAGCATTTTAGCACTTATTGATGCGTAGTTACAGTTTACAGCAAATAATAATAATCCCAGCATTTCGTTTCTCATGTCATTTGAAGATTACTAAAGTAGAATATGGATTGATTAATATTAAATAAATATCTGTGATAATGAAGCTGACCCATATCTTGCTGCATTCAGGTATATTAGGGGAAAGTTGAGTGGAAGGAAAATATATATAAAGCCCACATGGACTGGGTTTGGTGCATTAAAAGTAAACAATGCACACAAAGGTTATCCTGAGCTATCTCTATAAATATGCTGCTATAGGCTTAGACTTCTGGAGGACATAGGGACTCCTATTTCATCATTTTTCTTAATTCTATCTCTATTATTCCACTCTGTAGAATCTGCTAGTGCAATCTCTAACGTTCTGCTCTCTCTGCTTTTTCTCATAGTAGCTTCATCTGGTCTGTTCCTGTTTGGCTGTGACTCCATCCTAGAGAGAAATATCAGCTGTGCTGCTGCCATCAACACATTTGTTTATAGATGTTGGAGATCCGCCTGTTTTTTCAGTGTCCTGTTTCTCTGATTGTGACTGGCTGGATGTGCTCTCTTCATCCTCTGACATGGGAGTCGCTATATAAATAAACTGAATTGAATTGAAATGCATAGTAGCCCATGCTTTGTTGTCATTCAGTTCAATGTGTCTATTTGTACAGTTTTACAGCAAATATGTTTTTTTGTTTGACAAGAAAAACGAAAACTTGCTCACATTACATTTAAACTGTAACGTTCATGCATAAATTATACTGAATGATATATGGTCCAGTCTGATCTAAACTGGAATATAAAACAAGTTTAACTCGTTTTTTTTACAAAAATTGTTCAAATATTAACAAAAGAAAGCCCGCTCCACTGCATTGATTCATTTTTGACTGATTATCAATCCATTTTAAGGAATGCAAGTGAAAAGAGTGGACAGACAGCAGCATGCGGTTGTTGATCTTGCAGAAGTCATATTGAGCATGTATGTTGCCACCATGGAGAGGAAAAAAACTTCTCTTTTAACAATAATAAACTTTAAGGAGGCTCAGGCTCCTAAACCACCTTTGAAGGTTAAGATGGAAAGATGCAAAGAAACAGTTGCCATGGGGATGAAAATCTGAGTATAAGCAGTACAGGTAATGGCAGCAGATTCTTTATTGAGGGTGATTTGGTAAAAAAAAAAAAAAAAGAGAATCTCTGGGCGAGTAGTTTTTACAGTGGTAACATCTTCAAAAGCTCTGCCAAAGAAAGAGATGAGGCATCATTATTAGGGCAACTTTAGGCTCTATGGAAAAGAATTAGATAACCATTGAAGTGGGTGTCCCCTTCCAAGATGGAGACACAGCCAAACAGATTAAAATGTCGCTCTGTCTGGACTGACCTCCTAATTAAATGGAGCCCAACAAAAGAGACATGAAGCAACCTTTTGTCTTTAAATTTCAATTTTTAATCCACAATCATCATATGAATGTACTATTCGTAGCATGTGAAAATCATAACCAAAATCAAATGAAATTCAGTTTATTTGATTAGCACCAATTAACGCATCTAAAGGCCCTTTACAGTCAATTTAATCATATCAGCCAGATATGAACGTACGTTTCCTATCTTAAGAAACTTGCATCAAGGTAATGACTTGCAGCATTCACTGATCCTGTATGACCATGTAGCGACAGTTGATAGTCGCTTGCATTGTGTTTTTGACTTTGCAACAATCTCTAACAAACCGAGCATGCATGACCTTCAGCAACATCTGGACTGGACACAGAACAATACCTCCTGAGAGGACTTGGCTGCTTCAGTGACTAAAGCCAGATGCTGCATGCTTTAATAAATCTGTTGTGCAGGAAACAATCCCATCTACAGTCACCTGTAAGGGTAGCAGCACCAGGGTGGTAGCTGAGAAGATCACCTCTGAATGGACAAGATATGACGTCATCAATATTTATCAGTCTAGATAGGGTCACACATGCTTAAGGTTTCCAGACTTCAGTAAGACACTATTAGAGCATTATCAACAACTGGATAAAACATGGTAAGGAGCGGTTATTAAAACTACTCTCTATCATTTCTGACCAGTGTGTCCATTGTTCAAGATGAAACCTATCATGCAAAATAAGGCCTTGTTTAATTAAAAGAAGTGGAGGTCAAAGAATGTGGATTTTTTTAATAACAGAGCCCTTGTAGAAGCCTGGAGAGGCCTTCCAGGTCTTTCCAAAAGCTGACTGCTCCAAATCTAAAGGGATAAAAACAAAAGATTAGAAGAAAACAGACTTTTTAAAGCATGCAGTTGAACTTTACAAGGAAGTCTGCCTATTCGGAAAAACAAAGTAATTAAAATGAAAATAGCTAAAGGGTAATGCTCACCTACTTTGTTATGCACTGAGTCAGATTGTACATTGAGAGGCATGCAGCCAGGGCTTTATGCAGCCTGATGACAGACACTGGGCAATGGCGAAGCGCTAAAAATAAACGCTCAGGTCAGCGGAGCCGGGCATCCACATAACTGGACAGGCTGCCTGCAGGGAGTTGGCTTTGTTAGTAAAAGGGCTGGAAAAGAAACGCTGAGAGCTGAAAGATTACTGTTTAAATTATTCCTCACTGGAGTGTAGAGCGACGAGGGTGTCAGATGGGGGAGTTTGCATTGCAATCAAAAGGTTTTTGGTTCAAGCTCTGGCTTTTTCAGTTGTGTCCTCGGGCAAGACACTTCACCCCCATCCCCTACTGATGGTCAGAGGGCCTGATGGCAGCTGTGTATTGATGCCTTGCTTCTGTCAGTGAGACCCAGAGCAAATGTGGCTACCATGTAGCTTGCCACCATCAGGACACCAACATGACATCTAACGGCATTGAGATAATGGTGTAATTCAGCGGTGGGGGACACTGGCTTCCAATGTGGAGAATGGATCTACAATAGAACACACCACTGGTTTTTATCTCGTCTTCATGAAAACTTTATCTCTAATTTCAGGGTTACTGGAATCCAGATCCTAAACTTAATTAAGAACATCTGCTAAATCAGAAATCCACCCGCTGACACTGAGACTCCAGTCTACATGTAACACAGGTAAACACTGTCCAAATCTTGTTGTACTTTTACTAGAACTTATGCATCTACCCTTTTCCTCCCCTTTATCCAAAATTAGGACACAGAAGTAGGAGATATCTGGTTCTCAAAGCTAAATGTGATGCATTTAGGTGTGATGAAGATGACATGCTGAGGTGAAATTTAGGAATCAATGGTGGAAAATTGAGATTTGGATGGCTGAACATGACCTGGTTGCTGGTGTGATTGGGTTTTCACATTGATTTCAAAAATTCTTTTTAAATAATTGTAATTTAATTCTCATAATGCTGCCCAAATGATTAAAGGAGATATGTGGTAGGAGAAGCTACTCCAGCAACAGGGAAAACTGCAGTCTTAGGACGATTGTTTGAGAGGTTGGGGGAAGCATCCTAAGTGGACTGCAGCCAGATCAAGAGTCGCTTAACACAGATGAATCCCACATTTAATTCAAAAATACAAATCCAAAAGGGAAACTACAATAATAAATTAAAAACTGGACTGTTGCGTTTCATTTGGGAAGACCAAGAACTGAAGCAGCTTTAAGCCAAAGCAGGACTTCCAGCAGTCATCTGTGGTTGATCTGCAGTTTCTGAAGTCTACAGTAAACAGCCATCTGGTTGGAGTTCCTTATGCCTCCTTCTGCTGACATGGAGAAGCTGATTTGGTTTTCCATCAACAGAACCACAGACTGCCTTAATGTCGCTCTGCATGGATGCAGTAAAGTATAAAATATTGAGTTCAGAGATTTAGAAGCCTGACATCCATTTAAAATGTCATTTCCACTGATCAATTTTATTTAAAAAACTCCAAGATGTAGGGTTTTTATTCTGTCAGCATGATCATCAATAAAGAAAAAAGCTACAAATATCTCATTTTGTAATTAACCCATAAGAACTTTTACAATATCAATCTTTATTTGTACCTTTAGATCTCATGATCATCGATGAGTTTGAACCTGGACAACCTGCACCTTAAGAGCTTCATCAGTCTATATACAGCAGATGCAACGGATCACTAAAATACTTCTTTTTCCATTTTGCAGCAGTTTTATTTGTTCATAAAAATGCAGCTCAGCTGTTCCCTGAGAAAAGCTGAATGTTTATGAGACCCTAAAAGAAAATCACCCCCTCGAGTTTGACAGAGGGACACAAAACCTTTATGAGAAATCGTCAAAATGACAGTCCTTTCATTCGCTTCATTTATGTTGACTTGAACAATCAAAGCCTCTAATTAAGGCAGTTCTGACTAACAGGCTGTGATGAAGCTCCGCTCTGACACAGATCATAAACAAGAGACAAACATTTACTGCAACGTGTTCATTTATTTCACTCCACTACAAAATTATATAGCCATTTAGACTATCGTACAATCTCCACATATACATTATGTACAGTTAAAGGTAAACTGAGAGCACGTTACAAACAGTGTGCAGTGAAGGTAGTCATTTTGAATAACAAAGGAGCGTACAGGTCAACACTCCATCAGATGCTCTACGATTAAAAATCCTGTGTGGTTCTGATTTATTTTTGAAGGATGTCCTCAAATACTGCTGTAAAAATAAAATCTAATTAGTGCAGATTGACTGCTGAATTTTCGCTGTAATGGAAACTAATATTTATAAGAGACTGTAAATTTTATTTCCTTTTCGTAAGCAGTCAGATTAATGTGCCAGTCATACAGTGGCATGTTTCTCTCAGAGGCCTTCAATATTTAACTACTTAGTTTTAAATATCTGTCTGTTTAGTAAATTGATTTCAGGCCATGAGATTATCAGAAATCAGAGTTTGTTTTTAGCACAGATGTCATCGTTAAGTGTTTAAATAAGCTCTTTACATCACC